ACCGTTTCCGAGATATTTGGCTTTGAAACTTCCAATGCTAATAGTTGAAATAATTAAAATAATTTAGAAATGTCAAAAACAAGGGTTTATTTAGAATTAAAAATTGTAATGAACAGTAAAATAGTAAACATTAGTAAAAAATATGCCTTTTTGACAATAATTGCTCAAAATGTCCACCTCTAACTTCAATACATTTATCAACACGTTTATTAAAAGATTGTCTTATTTTAAAGTATAAATCCTTAATGCGAAATGACTTTGCAGCATTTAAAACTTGCTGCCAAAGTTCTTCTTAGGTGTTTATAGTTATAAACAACTGATTTCATGTAACCCCAAAAACTAAAGTCTCGGCATTCTATCTCACATTTATGTATATACAATTTAAATTGTAAGCTAAGATGTAATTTTAATTAGTTACGAATAATACTTAATAAAAAGTAGCATACAAATGACACCAATAAGACAAGTGGAAAACGTCAATTATTTGATTTTCATCCAAATCCTACTAAAAAAAATTTTACCGCTAAATTATTAATATCTGTAGGTAGTTAACTGTAATTTAATGTAACAGCATTGGAAATTTTAAAGCCAAATATCTCGAAAACGGTGCGATACACCTACTTTCATAAAGTATACCTTATTTGTGTAAAAAGAGTTGGAAAATAAGAATTTGATAACAAGGACGAGATACCTTAAAGTATAAAAAAGTTGTCGTTTTTAACAAATTCAATCTACTGCAGCTAGCGCCCTCTATGAACTTTAACCAAAATGTGAACAGATTTCAATTCCTCTACCCAAAGAACTAGAAACCTCAAAATTTTGTAAGGATATTTGCATTAGTTAAGGAATAAATGAAGAAAAACTGAAATAATATTTTACATTTAACACCCTGTATCTCTTTAACTATCAACTTTTAGACTAAGGTAAGTTCGGCTAAATCGCAATATTTTTGCTTGGGGAATCTACCCATGTATTTTGGCCCATTACCTCGAGATTACCCTGTATAGTATGTATGCAAAGTTACGTCATTTTATAATTTTGTACAATAATAATAAAATAGCTGTTATTCTTTTAATTTTTAAAATAAATATTTGTAACTTTCACAGATTACTCTTCAAATGACGATTGAAACAGTGTGATATGGAAAAAAATCTTAAAAATTTAATTTGAAAAATATTGAGCTCAACATTTTCAATAATTTTAAAAAATCACAAATTTGACTTTTTAGGCCATTCTTTATAGATCAAAAACTATAGTTGTAAATGTGATATTGAAACTTTATGAGAGCACTTTTTAAAGCTTAAAATCTCTACTTTAAGATAGTGCATTTCATTTTTCTTACAAAAATTTAAATAATATTTAGTTGAAAAAACAAAAAATAAAAAATAAAACTATTTCATGAAAATTCCGTGAAATTTATTGTTAAATAAAGTTTAATAATATACAAAAATTTTTTTTTTTTGTTTAATGAACCATCAGAGAATTAACCCTTAAAACCTTAAAAAAAGTAAATCCAGCGAAAAATAATTTTTTTATATATAGTAATAAGTGGAAAATTGTTATAACAGCAAAAAATAACGTTTTTTGATGAATTGATTTAATATTCATTTTTAAAACGTATATTCTGTATCTGAAATTGTGAATATAAGTTCTCTTATATGTAGACACAGATATGAGTCTAATATACATATACAGGATGGGCCACCAGTAACGTCTCAGTCGCTAGGGACCAAAGGGCAAATGTTATAGAAACCTGTTTAGGTGGGTATGTGTAGGTTGATTACTGCTACATTTTAAAAATATTTTGAAATATACAGGGTGTCCAGGAAAAGCGTACCATATCAAAGTTATGTATTTTTAAATGGAACACCCTATATTTTACTGCATTTTTGAAAGCACCGTAAAAAAATAGGTGAACTTTATTAAAGGTTCTGCATACCTAGGATTTACAGTTTGTGAGATATTTCAATTTTAGTGAAAATGCAGGCTTAGCGTAGAAATTTAATATTAGCAATAAAAAAATTATTTTAAGGAAGCAGCTTTGGAGGGTCTATTTTAGATCCTTGAAGTTATAAATTGTTATATTTGTCGTCACTTAGTATTATACAGGGTGTTCAAAAAACTGCTGAATACTTCTCTCAACTTTAAACAGCAATAACTTGGTTATTTTAAATGGAACACCCAGTATATTTTTACTTTGGGAGTTAGGAAATTTAAAACTCTTTCAAACTGTGTATAGGTTCCCTATACCTATCTCTAACGGTATTGGAGATATTTGTGCTGTTTCGTTTTTTATCGAATTTCCTGGTAATGAACAAAATTTGTTAAGGTGGCTTGTGCCATGTTTGACATTTTAGTTACACTAATCATAAAACGTTTATCTCGAGTCTTGTGGAAATATTTTGTTCTATGTTAGGGTAGTATTAGTTATTTTTAACATGAAAGTTTATTCTACTACAGAAAGAGTAGATATGATGAGTACTATTGGCGAATGCTACGAGAACTGTTTTCTAGCCTCCAGAGTATACGCACAGACATATCCTGATCAATACATCCAAACAAAAAGGAGTTTGAAAGATTGCTAGCGAGATTTTGAGCAACAGGTAGTACTGCCTACAACAAAGAGAGGAAATCAAAACGGGTAACCAACAACAAAGAAACACATCCAGTTTCACCAAAATTTGTATGGCACGGATTTTCAACAACGGATTGACTTCTGCTTATGGGCTCTTGACCGAATTGGAGAACAACCAGATTTTTTTAATTTTGTGCTGTTCACGGATGAATCAACTTTCCATAATAATGGCCTGGTAAATCGTCATCATTTTCATTATTATGATACCGAAAACCAAGATGTGTTCAACACCGTTGATCGTCAAAATCGGTGGAGTTTGAACGTGTATGGAGGAATTGTTGGTGACCACGTAATTGGTCCTTATTTTTTCGATGGTTTTTTGAATGGCAGGAAATTTTTGAGATTTCTGAAAAGAGATTTTTGGGCTCTTGATGTCCCTTTAAATGTAAGGAGAAAAATGTGGATGCAATTAGATGGCGCACCTGCACATTTTTCATATTTAGTGAGAAATTGTTTGAATAGAAAATTTAGTAATAAATGGATAGGTAGGAATGGTCCATGTCAGTGGCCACCTAGGAGTCCAGACCTCACCGTAATGGACTTCTTTGTTTGGGGCTATATAAAAAATCTTGTTTACAGTGTTCCACCTACCACTTGCGATGATATGAAGGGAAGAATTAGAGATGCATTTGCTACAATCACTCCAAATATTCTAAGGAACATGAGAATATCATTTGAAGACAGAATAAGATGCTGCATTCAAGAGAATGGTTATCGATTCTAACATTTATTATAAATTTTCTTTGTTTCTTCCAAAAGTAAAACTTTCTTTAATAAATATTTTCATGTTCACAATTAATTTAATTAAGTTACGTACAACAAATATATTTATACAAAATTAATAACTTTTTATAATTATTCTGCTTATAAAATAATATTTTTTATTAGAAAACTTTCTTGAATATTGTCACGCTTTACCAATTCAGTAAAGGCCTCGAAAAGACACGTGGATACATCGTATAAAAAAATTCGATAAAAAAACGAAACGGCACAATTATCTCTAATACCGTTAAATATAGTTATAGGGAAACTATACACAGTTTGAGTGTTTTAAATTTCCTAACTCCCAAAGTAAAAATATACTGGGTGTTCCATTTAAAATAACCAAGTTATTGATGTTTAAAGTTGAGAGAAGTATTCAGCAGTTTTTAGAACACCCTGTATAATACTAAGTGATGACAAATATAATAATTTATAACTTCAAGGATCTAAAATACACTCTCCAAAGCTGCTTCCTTAAAATTGTTTTCTTATTGCAAATATTAAATTTCTACGCTAAGCCTGCATTTTCACTAAAATTGAAATATCTCACAAACAATAAGTCCTAGGTATGCAGAACCTTTAATAAAGTTCACCTATTTTTTTACGGTGCTTTCAAAAATGCAATAAAATACAGGGTGTTCCATTTAAAAATACATAACTTTGATATGGTACGCTTTTTCATATTTCAAAATATTTTTAAAATGTAGCCGTAATCAACCTACACATACCCACCTAAACAGGTTTCTATAACATTGGCTTTGGAAAAACCATTTTGAATTTTTATTTTTCGACTTCATATTCTTGTTCAACGACATCGAAAACCCCTATATTGTCAATTTGAAAGAATTCGATTTAAAATTCTTTGAATTATTTTAAATGTTCTTAAAAAAGCTATTTATTATTGTTTAAACAATTAAAAAACAATTAACGTACAAAAATAAGTTTATAACTTTTTTCTAATACTTATATCCAAGTAATTTCAAAAGGTTTTAGGAAAATCCATGCATCCCATAATTATTTCGAAATAATGCGTAATTTTAAGCTATCTTGACTACACTAAGTATTAAAAAATTTATTTTATTTTATTTTATTTTATTTTATAACAAAGAAACAAACAGGTTCCTAATTAGATGTTTCTAATTATTATAAAACTAACTGCACAATAATAAAGATATTAGGGAGAACTTAGTCAGAACCAAACGGGGAATATCTCTCAAGAAAAATCCGTATTAGAATGGCTTTCTGAAACTTGACCAATAAAGTATCAAAGATGCCTATTGATATTCTATCGTGGTATTTATTAACAATTTCACATATACCGTTAATCAATGTTTTAGTATTTGTATTAAATATTATTTTCGTGAGACGTATCCGGTGATCAGGTGTATTTATATTTATTTTTGAGAGCAGATAGGGAGTGTCGAGGCTTCCATTTAAGATTATATGTAAAAACACTAAATGTCGCCTAATTCTCCTATGTTCTAATTTACTGATTATCTGGTCACGTGGGACTGGGGCATTTATAAAGGCACTGTACAAAAACTAGTTATTAGTACTTGGATAGCAATTTTTGTATTTGACAAATGTAATTGGTCGCTTCTAGGTTTTGCTCCAAGATGGATATTTTGTGCATTTCTTTGCACCAAACGATTTGGAACCATTGCCCAAGCATGTGATTTTTGTACTGGATACAAGTAGCAGCATGATGGGGAGAAAATTGGAGCAACTGAAAGATGCCATGACAAACATAATAGATGGTTTAAAAAAAGAAGATACATTCCATCTAATGGAATTCAATGATTATGTTATCGTTTGGGATATCAACTTTAAAAAATTTACTATGTTGTCTCCATATATGATACAGAATTTTAAAGAACCTTTTCTTTCTCTTCAAGTAAGTAATTTAGTGCCCAACTGAAATTCTTCAAATATAACAGTTTTTTTTTATTTTTATGATAGGTCATTACAATTTCTGTTTTTTAAACAATTTTTTAAATAATTTCTGAAAATATAAATATTTTATTAATCATGATGACATCAAAACTATTTCCAGGACATTTCATATTCCATTCTTTTTTATATTGAAAATTGTTCTTATTTTGAAATGTCTTCAGTTTAAAAATAATTTTTTTCTTACAAATATCCCTCCATTGCAATTTAGGAGTTTAGACTGAAGTAACAAATTTTTTTAAATTGTAAAAAGTCTCAGTCATTAGTTTCAGCAACATCGCATTTGGTAACTTGCTTGTTTCTTTTTGTCACTGTAGTAAGCAAAATTTAAATATATTACGACAGGACTTTTTTTTTAATATTTGCGTATAAACTTGAATATAATATAAAATGCTTCTCATAAAATAATGCATACTAAAGTGTTAGTAAATTTTTAACTCGCATGTTGATCGCGCTCATCGCTACTATTGACAAATTGTTCTTTGTCTTTGGACTATTCACACAAATTTTAATTTTTCTCTAAGTTTAGTGTGTAAGCAAATTAGAAATTTAACGCTTATTCAGTTCTTGAGCCATAAATCAATGATATTTGTAAATTGTCACATAATTTTGATTATTCTGCAAAAATAATTTCAGGTTTCATTTAGAATAAAAAATTTTGAAGAAATACATTTCTAACTCAATCGGATTTTTATACATTAAAGTCCAGAATTTTTGGATTTTCTAGCAGTTGATATTTTGAAAAGTTGCAAAAGAAATGCTAAATAGAAAAAAGTTTTACAACTAAAAGTTTTTTCCAGCGGCATCAAAACAGGGGTACGTTTCTGAGCAAACAAAATAAAAACAATTGGGTGCTGTGAATATATTAGGTACCTATTCGTTCTTCAAACCATACTATGGGATCTCAATGATCTTAAACAATACAGGGATGATGAATGACATGCTGCAGTTAAATTCGATTAATCTTTTTTCATTTTGTTGTCGATGTAAGACGGAAAATTATAATTTTCCTTTATATTATCTTAATAAAAAACCAAAAGAGATTGTCCTTTTAAATTCAAATATTATTACTAGTACACTTTTTGGTGGCGAATTCAAGTTTGTCTTTTAAATTATACATTTTTTTATCATTAGCTTTAGTATTTTTACTTTCCTAGGTATTAAACTAATTCAGATTTTCCTAAAATCCTTACATTATGAAGAAATACCTTTGTATACAAGCTGGTAATTTAAAATACCGTGGTTTTCCGGGCTGTTATACCATGGCTTATGTACCTGGTCTCTGACAGTTACAGTCTTATAATACACTTCCTTTCATGAGAAATGCACTTCCTATGACAGAGGGTGTTTGGTGCATCATTTGCCAAATTGGATTGGCAGAAAAGTGAGGTTATTTGTAATATCTTCAGCCCCAATAACTCACTCTTGGCTCCATGGGTTTTTTTAATTTCAACTTTTTCATTGTTTTGAAAAATCCTAAAATTCAGTAATTAAACTTAAATTTAAAAAAAAGTTATTGGTATAGCCTCCAAATTAAATTTAAATTTTTATATTTATTGTCGTATGGTTCTATCAAATTCAAAATTACTTTCAAGTAACATCTAGTTGACATTTTATTAACTCGTAAAGTTTTTGAAAGAGGTAAAAAGAAATTTAAAGTTGAACGTTGCAATAAAAAAAACTTAAAAGCGATTGTGATCTTCGAATTTCTTTAAAAATTTCTCTAGTCTATCCCCTTTCCAACGGTATGCAACATTCCATTAAAACCTTTTAATAACTTCATGAATTCACTTAATTTGTGTATTCTTTCGACCAATTCAATTTGGCAAACGATGCTCCAAACACCCTGTATGTGGATCAACAGATAAAAATTAATCTGGCTGTGATATCAAAAAATTTAATTTTTATTTTTTTCTACATTAAAAATAAACAAAAAAAATATGGAAACCTGTCTAAATTGACTCGTTTCAAATTTTCATACCCCGGCGAATTGTTATAGAAAAGCAGATATACAAATTGTTCAATGTAGTAACCTGTAACTAATGTTATTATTATTTTTAAGCGCCATTTCTTACCATCTCCACAATATGCTAGCGATACTGTTATTCAGAAAGCCAAGGAAGTTGTTCAGGAAATGAAAGTTTGTGGACGCACATTTGCAATAGGGGGCCTGGAAACAGCTTTATACTTAGCTACAGAAGGACAAAAGTTGGATGAAAGCAAAGATGAAAAAGTTCATCCTATTATCATATTTTTAACAGATGGTGAACCCAATGAGGGAATTTATTCAAAAGACGAAATTGTAGATGTGGTAAGTCACTGAACACACAATAATTACTTATAATAATGCAGGTGTGCTACTTAATATTCCCACTTTCGTGTTGTGCATTAACAATAAAATTAAAACCTAGTTTATTGCATTTGATGTGTAGAACATGAAATAAATGATAAAACTTACGCACTTCCAAATTAAATGGGAATTTTCAGAACATTGTTATGCTCACAGACTGTCTTCTTGATATATGTCTCATATAAATATTTCACTTAAATTCTGTCTTGGTAAATTTATCGCCTTAAGGATTGTGACATCATCGAAATAATTTTTCCCAATTCCACACATCTTATGACAGTTTTCACTATTTTTAATAACTTTTATTAAAAATTTTTTCAATATATCTTTTCTTTCATAAGGTATAAAAGAATGTCTATAACACTGGTTCGATCAAGTCTGTTTCTGATTTTATCAGAGTTATCACAGAAAACAAGGCAGTTTCAATTATTTATGTTCATTACGACGCAAATCATTTGTCTCTACAAACCTGTACTGCTAATTTTGGGTCTTTCCGAGCATCCCCAAAAGTCAAAGTCAGATCTACTTTTTCATTTTAAGATTATAAAAACAATTAGTAATGAATATAGTCAGTAGAAGTACGAGGCATGTTTTTTAAGTAAGTACCATTGTGAAATTCCGCCGTTGCAGCGCTGCGGTCGGTGTCCCACGCATTGGCACTGTGTACCTACATTTGTTGGCAAGCCACAGATGCCATTGCGGCATCAATCGATCGTGTTTACATTGGCTTTTGAGTAATGAAAATGCTTCCGCAGATTGAGAATACTGCCGACTCTGAAATACGCGCTGTTATTCGTTTTTTAAGTGTTAAAGGCGTGAAAGCAGTTGAAATTCACCGTCAGATTTGTGAAATACATGGACAAAACATAATGAGTGATGGAATGGTAAGCAAATGGGTAAGAGCTTTCAAAGATGGCCGGAAGAATGTTTGTACCGAGGAACAGAGTGGGCGACTTTCATGATCACTGACGATTTGGTGCAGAAAGTCGACGAAAAAGTGAAAGAGGACAGACACTTCACAATTTCTGCGTTATAAGAGAATTTTTCTCAGGTTTCAAGAAGTGTTCTCTACGAAATTGTTACCGAACGTTTAACCTCACAATGGATACCAAAAAGTTGACGGAGGCGCACAAAACAAACATTTAGGCAGTGCCTTGACTTTTCTTGTGCATTATGATGCTGAAGGTGATGATTTTTTAAGCCAAATTGTCACAGGCAATGAAACATGAGTGGCCTATGTTACATCAGAAACAAAACAATAATCCATGGAATGGTGGCATTCAACATCGCCCACAAGAGTGAAGTTTAAGCAGACAATATCAGCTTGGAAAATCATGTGTACCGTGTTTTGAGACAGGAAGGGGGTGTTGCTTGTTAATTTTTTTACCTCGTGGTGACATAATCAATTCCCAAACATATTGTGGGACCTTAAAAAAACTGCACCGTGCAATAAAAAATAGAAGGTATGCTGAGTAAAGGGATCGTTTTGTTACATGATAACGTCTGTCCACATATGACCAATCGGACTCAAGAACTCATCACATCATTTGGCTGGGAACAATTTGATCATCCTTCATACAGCCCTGATCTGGCGCCCAGTGACTACCACTTGTTTCTGCAACTGAACAAGCATCTCAGAGGTCAACGCCACGATGACGACGATAGCCTAAAAATGACCGTGTTGCAGTGGATGTCAAATTAAGCGGCAAACTTCTATGATGACGGATTACAAAAGCTTGTAGTTCGCTATGATTAGTGCCTTATGTGGAAAAATAAATAAACGTGTGGTCTTCCATGTAAAAATAAAATTGTTACAAAAAGTTTACTTGTTTTTTTTTTACATATCAAAATGGTACTTAAAAACACACCTCGTATCTCTTTTTTCACGGCTGTGCTGACAAAACCAGTACAGACTTGATCTCCTACTACTGTTTAAATTTCTTTTACATGTTCTGATATCTTTTGAAAGGAAAAAATATACAAAAACTTTTTTTAATAAAAGTTGTTGAGGGGCTTATTGTTAGCTTCGTGTTTCTCGGTTTGAGCTTGTTATTCCCATTCTGGTTCTTGTTTTTGTTCCCATTCTTGTTTCCAGTTAATTGAACAGCAGGCTTAATCCTCTTTTAAGTTTTTTAAAACACTATCAAAGGGGCAATAACCAAATTCCGAAATATATGCACCTTACTGTTTAACGAAACAGAGTTCAATCTGCGATTTTAATGCCCTATATGCCTAATAATTGTCTTTTTGTCATTAATGAAAGAATGCCAAAAATGTCTATTTCGTTTCAATAGCATATATTTATCTATGTATAATATTTAAAAGAATTCTTGTTAAATTACAAATATCTGATGGTTTTTATTGATACAAGCAAATCTGTTAGAGTTGAACGCTTTATGAGGGTTGTCTTTTATATTTTGGAAATAGAGAACAAAAAAGAAATTAATCATCATATATGGCTTATTATTTTTTAAAATATTCTCCATGAATACACTTTCTCATGTGCTTGAACCAATTTTTGAACCATTTTTTCCATTCCGATTTAGGTACCTTCAAAACATGGATTTTGAATGTGCCAACCCGTTCTTCAGTCATCAAAAAACGTTATCCTCGTTATTTATTTTTGATGTGCGGGAATAAAAAGGTATCAGTGGGTTGCCAAATCTGGGCTGTACGGCGGATGACTTATTAATTCAACTTTTTTAGTTCTCAGTCTCTTGTTTGAGCCAATGTGTATTGTCCTGGTGGAGAATAATGTGTCTTTGGCAGTTGGTTTCTCTTATTTTTTTGGCAAACAAATGCTTGTGTACCATTCAGAATTGACTCTCCGATGTTGCATTAATGGTACAGTTACTACATGTCCACTTTTTCTGAAAAAAACAGGCCATTGCTTGGAAGTGTTCATACATGAACAATTTTTGTTGGATTTGTCTCAACTTGAAAGACGCATACAGTTGACTACTGTTTACTTTTGGGCTCATATGCATAGATCCATGATTTGTCACCTGTTACGATGTCATAGAGGTGTTTTGAAGCACCGCGATTTTATTTCTTAAGCTTTTCTCTTGACCAATCCTCACGAGCCTTATTTTGAGTGTTTGTCAAATTATATGGGATCCAACGCGAATAAATTTGTCAGTGAGTGAACCACGGCCATGATTGAATTTCATACACCACTGATATACAGTCCTTTTCTATGCCGCTTCATCACCAAAAGTGAAATTAAGTTCATCAATGAGCTGTTGTAATAATTCACGTTGTAAAAAATAATCTCACGGAAATGTTCATGATTTAATTCCATTTTTTTACCGAGAGAAATTTTTCAATTCACTGTAAAACAACACAAATAGCACCTGTACGTTAAAACGTTCTGAAAAGTATTCTGACAAAAAATCGAACTTTACGATAGGGGACGTTTGTTGTCAGATGGCAGCACCAGGTTTGTTTATTCCCGAAATATAAAAGTCAACCCTTGTACTGTCCTCCACATATGATTTCAAATATGTTTCAGTTTCTAAGGAAATGCCAGTGGGATTGTACGTAGCATATTTCTTAAACTTTTGCTTTAATCAATTATTAGTGTATTAATTACTATAATTCTTGAATTTTTTAGATGACTCAATTAAACACCAACACCAAATTGCCTATATTCTCTTTATCTTTTGGAAAGGAGGCAGATAGGAACTTCTTGAGAAAGTTATCTTTGAAAAATTTTGCTTTCTCAAGGCATATCTATGAAGCTGCCGATGCTTCACTGCAATTACAGGATTTTTATAAAATGATTTCTTCCCCACTCTTACATAACATAAATTTCAAGTATGATAGGGAAGTGACAGAAGTTACAAGAACTTGGTTTCCTCTTTACTTTAGGGGATCTGAATTAGTTGTTTCAGGAAGATATGGAGGTATGTTTTCATTAAAAAAAATATCGTACATATCTTTAATATTGTCTGTTTCACTTTAGTTGGGGATAAAAGAGATAATTTTATTTAAATTAAATCTATTGTTTCATGAATAATAGTTATTAAAAAATTTTTATTCAAGAACTATATGCAGCCACAGCTCTTTACTTCCATACCAGGGAGGGCGGAGAAATTTAGGTACAAACCCACACAGCACAATGACATTCGTAGGATGTACTGAGGATAACTTCTCAGGATGTATAGGATATCCTCGGATAGGTACACGATCACCTCAGGATGTACCAGGGATATCCAAATGGAACGTCCCGGGATTTGCTCGTAACGTCCTGAGGACATCCGCCTGGCTATCTGCAGGAGATTATCAGGTTATCAGTGATCAAATGAGGACGTCCTAGGATTTACTGTGTATGTCCTCAAGACATCAGCCGGGCTATTATCAGGTTATCAGTGGATCAAATGAGGACAACGTAGGCTTTACTGTTGATGTCCTCAGGACATTAGCTGGGCTATATACAGCACATTTTTAGTACTTATTGGGCTAATAAAAAAAATTACAGGGTGGTATTAAATATTTCTATAGATCAAATACGTACCTAATTTCCAAAACATTTGCTTGCCATTTCCACTCCATCTAATATTTTTTATTAAAAAAAAATATTGACAAAAAAATGAAAAGGGAAATCTGATCATTTATCTATTCGGTTATAATACGAGATTTGATTTCTTTGAATACCACTGGAATAAAAATTAACAATACAATATTTTGGATCTGTCGATTAGATTCGTCATAAATACGTAAAGGGTAGTTTTAAAATTCTCTTTTCATGAGATTTAAAGACATTTTACATTTTTCTGCAAGAAGTATTCCATCGTTGATACACGTATGTATTTTTTAAACATTTTACTCACCCACTTACTAAAATCTGACGAGAAAATTCTGTAACATAGCCACCGGCAGATATTTTTCTGTTTAAGACAACAACTACTACAGACAAGACTACATACAAGTTTTCAGAAACATCTCCAAATTATTTAGATATACACATCAACGGTTCATATTATTCATAAAACTGGTTTGAGGCATTTTTTTAAACTGGAACAAATAAGACCTAAAGTACTTCATGAGAATAAAATATAAACTTTAATAGCACTTATTTTTAAACTGAGTTCTTGAATAAAAAAATAAAATTGAACTGAATTTTTTTATTCATTGCACATTATAAATATAAACTTAAAAAGCAAATTTCACATGTACTTATATATATATAATCAACTCTTTCTATGATACATATAACCAACTTTTTTATTACAGAATATAAACAAAGTTATATACACAACTAAGTTATTATTTGTATTATATGTATAACTATTCCTTATGTGCTGTTGATCTGGTCTCTTTTTATAGTCTCTCATTTGCATGCCGCGACATGTTTTAATGCCCTCCCCATTATCTTTTTCTGGGCAATTTTTTGTGCAATGTGCTTGTGAAATTCCAGCTGTAAATTTGTAGAAAAAGTATGTTAATAATACATTTACATTGTAGACGAGTGACAAAACAAAAATTTTCATTAAATACATTTAACGAGACTATTCTAATTTCATGAACTATGGATTATAATCTGTTGATATTAAATTTAATTCTAATATTCTAATAGATAATACGTAATTCTGCCTACGATTTATAATGTAATCCTTATAACTCACAATGTTGGTACAAATATTACAGACAGAGAACTATAATAAATTAATTAAATTTATGGGATACAATCCTTTGTCAGAACACCTATATACAACACATTCAAAACTAAAAATTATAGATTTGAACATATTATGTAGATTTGGTGATACCACTTATACACATCTATTACAAATAGTGATAAAAACTATTCTAATTTTTGAATGGTATTAGGCTCTATATAAAAAATATTTGAAAACATGTTTTTTTAATGCGTTCTTTAGGCATTATATAATTATTGCATGATACAAACAGTAAGAACAAAATTAGTTAATACTATATACGATTCTAACCTATATGTTTATTCTATGATATTAATACCTTAATACCAAAGGTAATTTAAATACTTACTTCTGCCAGCAGGTGGTTGATGCACGTCACTTAACTATTTTAACAAGCTTTAAATTTCATTTTCCACTTTTCAAATTAATAAAAACGTCATTGAGTCACGCACTTATAAAACAAAGAAACACAGAAAATGGCGAGATACGGGTCATGTCGTCAATATGTCATACTGCGCATGCACCATGCACTGTGCAAAGCCAAGAACCATCCCAGGATGGGATCACTCTAGAATTTGCCTAGGATATCCCAAAATTGGAGATTATTCGGCTTTTAATATCTTCATAGGATATTTCCAGGACATCCTGTTTGGATTTACCTGGGATATCCCCAACTAGGATATTGATAGGATCTACTTGTCTTATTTAAATATCATCAGGATATCCTGAGGAGTGAGATCCCCGATTAGGATATATAAGACTAAATGAGGATATCCCAGGGACGTCATGTGCTGTGTGGGAAGTATTGAAAAAAAAATCAAATATGATGGGAAATTTGCACAATTTTTTTTATTTTCTTATTAAATTTCTTTCATCGTAAAAAGTCAATTGTCACATAAATTTAAAATTTTTAATTAATAGTTCATATAAAAAAATAGAAATTCAAAATAATTCTCTATGCACTAAAACGCAGTCTTAAACAAAGACGGCTGAATCTTACGTCACGATCCGGTATCGGTCCAAATCAAACGAGTCTCGGTATCTGTATAGTTCTGTGTTCTGTAGTCTGTCTCACTCTTACTCATTTGTGTTTATGCAAACTATGTGTGCCGGATAGATTTTATATTATTTACTAACACAATGTTGTTAATTATTTAAAAAACTGTACATTCTATGACTACAGAAGCTGTCCAAGGGCAATCTGAATTTGCCAAAAATTGATGTCCTATAAATGTTTGCATGATCCTCACAGATATGTAAAATAGATTTAACACTAACACCATTTCTTCCTCATATTCTCATCCTTTGGTACATTAAATAGTTTGTTGGGGGCAGTTATTGTTGTGGAACTGCACATGGGTACTATACCTAATATTTATGTTCAGACACTTATGTTTTTCATGTTCTCATGTTGTAATTCTGATCCTGAAGCTGCCACGTATTAAAGCTGCCTGGGTAGATACTGTGAAAATAGACTCCATGAAAATTAACGAAACTTGTCTTTAAATTTATGCACTAAAACTAACTACTCAAAACTACTCAGAATACAATGCGAACACAAACTAATTGAACACAAGATTAAATGACAGCAATGCAATGACAGCGCCAGCCTCCCGCGTCTTGACAGTCTTAATACTCATATACCGAATCCTGACGTCACAAATTTCTTGACCGATTAGAGACCGCTCACCTAATTATATTCAATATTTTAATAATTAATTACATATTAATAGTTAAGTTTAAAGGGGTTTTACATATAGAAACATACTTTTATAGTAATTTTCTGCATTTTAAATAAATTTTGCTTCAAAAGAAAATTTGATGCAACTTCCTCATTAGGTAGGTAGTTTTATTTTAAGTACTACTGAAATGTAGGGAAAATGTACGTAACATTATTTTTTATAATCAAAGTCCATTCTTCTGTTTTTGTCCGAAGTAAACTTTGTAATTACTTTTTCTTAAAAGTTTGGTATTCTTGCACCATTGATTTTTTAATAGATAGTGTTGCAAGTGCTGTTAATTTGTCTTTACAGTCTAATTTTAACTTTTACAATCTTTTAAAAAACAGACAAGAAACAATATGTCTGTCTTTCACTGCTGTGCGACGGTAACCATGACCACCGCAGTAAACACCTTGCAGATGTAGAGGCGAGTTACGAGGAACCCACATATTCAGATTTTTTCAAACGAAATTTGCAAGCCGAGTTAAATTGACTGTACATTACAAATTTAATATTTCCTTTTTAATATGTTTCGTAAGGTTAATCTATTTAAGGTAATTTCTGGCATTTTTAGGTACTGAAATTTTGAAAAGTAAAACGTGTAGAACAAAAGTAAGCACAAAAATAAAATCCTTGGTGTTCTGTTTATTCATTGTTACTATTTAAATGTACTCAAATAAAATAATAACTAAAAAAAAGCGTTTGTAAAACATGTGTTTGCTGTTATCCTAACCCCACATTTTAAGAATTATTTTCACGTGATTATAAATAAATGTAAACAATTTTATATGTAGGACTAAACAAGTAAATGTTATAACAATATTTACGTGTAGAGTTATACAGGGTAGCCCATCGAAAACGTACCGCAAGGCATTACAGGGTTGTAAAAAACTTTTCGGCAAAATCCAAAAACAGGTCAAATTTGTTTCTGAGGGGGACAACTTTTGGCTCAAAAAGCATACCAAAATCTTCAACCCCCTAAGTGGGGGTGCTATCCCCTAAATTTTTTCAAATGGGAATGGGGGTCAAGTGGGGGGTCATTAGAAAGGGCTTTTAATTCTCTATACATCGATTCTTACTTTTTGAAAATCGATTCATTATTTTAGAAAATATGCAGCTTTGAAAATACGAACAATATTTTTGACGAGAAATGCGAAAATCGATTTAATTTTACTTCAAAACTTACGGTATTAGTCAAGTAAATGCTGAAAATGTTGTCCGCCAACTTGCATACAATGATACAGGTTGTCTTCAAACCGTTGTCGAACATTCTGGAGCACTTGCGGTGTTACTTCGCGACATACATTAATGATTCGTCCTCGCAGATCTTCCAAGGTATCAGGTGGAGTGCTGTAAACTTTGCTTTTAATGTGCCCCCAGAGAAAGAAATCTAAAGGATTTAAGTCGGGTGACCGAGGGGGCCACTCAATTGCACCTCTTCGTCCTATCCAGCGTCCTGGAAACGTCTCATTTAGGTAATTGCGCACATTGAGCGAGTAATGTGGAGGAGCTCCGTCTTGCTGGAAAATCAGTTCGTGTTCATTGTAAGCAGGGTCGTCCTCTATGATATTTGTTAGAGCTGGGTCGATGACATTTTGTAGTAAATCCAAGTACATATCGCCTGTCAAATTTCCAGGAAGGAAAAAAGGACCTACAATGGAATTTCCAAAAATACCTGCCCATACATTCAACTTCTGGGGGTGTTGGGAGTGTGTCTCATGGAAAATCCTTGGATTGGTATCAGCCCAGTAACGACAATTATGGCGATTCACTAAACCATTCAAGAAGAACGTACACTCGTCCGAAAAACACACATTAAAGAGGAAATTATCGTTTATCGCTCGTTCAGTCATTATTTCGCAAAATTGCAAACGACGATCAAAATCGTCTTCATTTAGCTCTTGCACTAGCCGAATCTTATAAGGATGGAATTTGTATTTTTTTAATATTCGTTGGACACTTGTACGACTCACTCCTGTCGCAGTAGCCAATTGCATTGTACTCAGCGTACTATCCATTGCCACTTGCCCCAATACCGCTATTTCCGTAGGTTCATTTAGTACCGGATTTTCAACCTGCCTCTTTTTGTTATGAACGGAGCCAGTTTCGCGAAATTTGGCCACCAATTCGCGAACAATTTTTCCAGACGCATGTTTCTCAGGATGCCGTTGGTTGAACAGTTCGGCGACCCGATTTCCGCATTCATTGTTTTTGAAAAAAAGCTCAATAATTTCTACTCTTTCTGGAATTGAGTACACCATAATTAATCAATTTAAAAGACTCGGCAGTATTGGTACTCTTCAACTACAAGTCACAAGACAGTTATCTAGCAACTTCTTGTGGCCTATCTAAATACGAAACAAAAAGCGGACAATTTTTTGCTCACCAAAATCAGGCTAAAGAATTCGCAAATCAAAAAAAAAAACAGCGAATTCTTTTGAAGGAATTTACCAAGCTAATACCGTAAGTTTTGAAGTAAAATTAAATCGATTTTCGCATTTCTCGTCAAAAATATTGTTCGTATTTTCAAAGCTGCATATTTTCTAAAATAATGGATCGATTTTCAAAAAGTAAGAATCGATGTATAGAGAATTAAAAGCCCTTTCTAATGACCCCCCACTTGACCCCCATTCCCATTTAAAAAAATTTGGGGGATGGCACCCCCACTTAGGGGGTTGAAGATTTTGCTATGCTTTTTGCGCCAAAAGTTGTCCCCCTCAGAAGCAAACTTTACCTGTTTTTGGATTTTGCCGAAAAGTTCATTACTACCCTGTAATGCCTTGCGGTACGTTTTCGATGGGCTACCCTGTATATAAAAAAGTTTGTATTTTCATAGATTTCAGTACCTAAAACCTTGATGGTTTGATCGTTTTTTGCACCTGTTTATTTGTTTTACTGCGGCATCTTTGAAAATACTCAGATGGCATGAGGCGGCACCCCAGAGCCCCCCGCACCAGTGTCCACTGACTATACATCATATTGAAAAAATAATATTTTTACGTAATGTTTGTATTTCCTCTCTCAACACTTTATATATTTTTTATCTGTACCTCCCTCAGAAAATACAGTATTAAATTATAGTAAAGTTGTATATTTATTGTAATTTTGAAATTATTGATGAAAAACTGAAAATTTTGCATTTAAGTTTTTATTTTATATTTATAAGGAAAAAGAGAAAATTTTAGACTACTCTACTACTATACTTTTTTGAAGAGAACTTGAAACATCTTGTGATATAAGCCTTATTATCTGTATTGGATTTTCATATTTTTAAATTTAGTACATTTTTCTGAATACGGGCAGTATGAAGATGTTAATAAATATTTTAGGATCAACATTTCCGACTGTCATCGACTGTTGGGGTCCACATGGTTTGATTAGTGTAAATTCATCTGCAGAAAGACCTGTGACCTCGCTAGAAAGACTGTGGGCTTATCTTACTGTGAAACAATTGTTAGATGCAAGAGATACCACACCAAATGTTGCTGAATTAACTAGAAAAGCTACTGATATAGCCCTAAAGTATTCGTTTGTGACTGACGTAACCTCTCTGGTGGTTGTAAAACCAAACGATACCACTTTGACTTGTGACCATTCTTGGACTAATAGTGGTAAGTACATATTAAGTTGTTTTACTTTATTTTATTACCTATACATTGGCTTCCTTTTATTTTGACTTAACTGAGATAAAAAATGCAATAAGTGGGCACGAACAGACAGACAAAATTACACATTTAACAAAACAAATAGCAAACCATTTTGTTCAGAATATGGTGCAAATATACAGGGTGTTTCCAATTTTTACAGCAAAAATTCAGAAATCCATGGAGTAAGTAAAAATCCTCACTATGTTTGAGTGCATCGCCCTCGGCAAGTATTCTAGTTACATTTTCCTCAAAAACTTTTGTTAAATTTGAAATGCAAATTATATTTTCAAAGAAAATGATCTCTTGACGTTTTTGCATAGCTTTTACAGTTTTAGTTTTTGTACTTCATCACTCTATATCTTTTAAAGTGAACATTTTTTAACAGTTTTCATATGAAAAATCCTATCTATTACTAAAACTGACAGGACGTGTGTAAATGTTACATTATTATGTTTATGCATTTCAGCTTTTCATAAAAAGGAAATGTCCCTAAAGTAATACTTAAACTCAAAAACTTATTTAGGCAATAACAACAGTAAAAACAAATAATTCTATAGGGATGTTCAATAAGTTCTCACTGTTTTCATTGAAATTAATGCTTTAATTAAAAAAAAAAATCAGTAAAAAACGTGTCACTGAAAGTATTGTCCATCATTAACCAGTATTGCTTTTATCCATCTTTTTTCATTTTAATTCCACATCGGAAAAATGACACGTCTTTTAAGAGTATCCAGTTATTAAACAAAAACTTTGAATCTTCATATTTCAGCTACTTTGCTTATAAAGGCAGTTTTCCACTAAACGGACAAAACAAAAACAAAACACAAACTTGTGTCGAATAAAACAAAACTGTAACTTTTCGCAAACTTTTTGAAGACTGGCGTGTTTTGCGACAGTTGGAGTTTTGTTTTTCGGGTCCCGCTTGAAAGCGGTCGCATCAAAAGGTTTCGACGTGTTTTGAAACTCAAGTCTGTTTAGTAGAAACGGTCGTGTTGTGTTTTCTATTTAAGTGATCCAACCTAATATCTATGTTGGCGTTTTCTTCTTCCCAAAAACAATATTTTAATCATTAATGAATTACAGCTATTAAAAAATATATATGTGTACGGTTAAAGTGTTTACTTGGCTAGGATACAAAGTAACTAACCAAGTAAACACTAACCATACATATACCACGAACTCCATCGATGGATATCTAGGGGTTTCCATTTAAAAATTTCTCCAGTTTTCCACATATTCTGAACTTCATATTCGACCACCCTGTATAAAAACTGGAAAATTTTCATGTCAAATTCGATAAAGTAGGTCTTCCTCTACAAAATGTCCAATTTGCACAAAAAAGTTAATCTGGAAAACTAAATTTTGCTGACAGTCTGCATCTGTCAATTTTTGTTTAAAAATCGAAATATCGGAAACGGTCAATACTAAGTATGGAGTGTGCTATATGTTTTCAACTTAAAAATGGATGATGTTTCCAAAAATGCAATAATATATGGGGGTTTAATTTAAAATAAGAAAGTTAGTATATCCGGTATAACCAGAAGTACGATGACTGAAAATATTTTAACTTGGTGGGCCCCGCGGTCCGTATCACACCATCACAATTTAAAAAAAATCCATAGACCGTTTTCCCAGATATCCATCGATGCAGTCGAGGTGGGACACTCTGTAGACACTTACTTTTTTTCCAAGGTCTTCAGTATAAACCAGCCATAACTAAGAATTAAAAAACCTTCTCTAAACATGTTGGTTGGTTATTGGAAAAATGTGTTCTGACTTCCTCGTGACAACCAGTGGAAAAGGACCGAAAACAAAAACAAAACTCGAACAAAATGTAGCCCGCTTGATGGAAACAAGAGTTTTGGGTTTGTTTCAGTTTTGTTTTTGTTTTTCAGGTTCTAGAAAACACAAACAGGAGATAAACTCAACTGTCCGTTTAGTGGAAAACCGCCATAAGAGTTATGTAGTCATTGTAATTCGTAAAAAATGTATTCAAATTTTTTGTTTTAGCATTCAACTTAAGAAAATTACATTTTTTGTAATTTTTTTATCCTGGATTAATCATTTAGTTGTGAAATAGAGGGTGAGCAAATTTTGAGACCTTCGTGGGTCTCTCGAGGAAATCAATAAAAATACATCAATGCAAAAAAAAGTTGAGTTAGTTCAAGTACTGCTTTCACCTAGATACTAGAAAATAAAAATTAACTTTAAAGATAACTGAAATTTGTTATCGTTACTTGTAAAAAATATATCTATATTATATATTTTTCATTTCAGCACCGCAACAGAAATTTAAAGGTCCTAAGGGTAAGTAATTTGTATATATTTTCATACATTTTTCGTAATTTTTTATTATGGATTAATCATTGACTCGTGAAGTAGAGGGTATGTAAATTTCAACACTTTTGGAAGCTTTGTCACATTTCTTGAGGAGATTGAAAAAAAGTATGAGACATATTTCATAAACGAATTTTTATTTGTCAGTTAAGATCAATCTAGTTAGTTCAAGCGCTGCTTTTATCTTATACCATAATTGTTATTGCTGTTTTTATTAACAAGTCATAAAAAAAAACACTAGAAAATAAAAGATAACTCTATTTTTATTACATTGCAGATATTCTTGGACTTTTTAAAGCTGCTCATAGTAAGTAAAATGATTGTCCTTGTTACTTGTGAATATACCTATCTAATATAATTTTTTTTGTCTTAGCATCTCAATCGAATTTTGTAAGTTCTAAGGGTGAGTAACTTGTATTTATTCTTATAAATGTTTTGTTTTTTCTATTTTGGATTAATCAGTGACACATGAAACAAGGGATTTCGACACTATATATTTTATTATTATTATTATTATCATTATTATTATTTATTGATGTTTAACTACATAATACAATTCTTACACAAGTCATAAAAGTAAAGTACCTACAGTCACAAACCTACACATCACATAAATAAATAACAAATTATTAAATTAGGCCATTAAAATTAGTGATGTCAAATACAGTTAATTTTTAGTATTCACAATCAGAGTATTCGTTACTTTTATCTTGAATACTCGTTACTTTGTATTCGCTACTGAATACAGTTACATGTATAGTCCGGCCGGCACGGTATGCGGCTTTGTTTCTACTCCGACTTCCCGCAAAAGTCAACCACACGCTCGAATTACCCTACCTTGTCAATATTAACAAAAAAAATTTATCCATCGTGGCTACGTCTGTTCCAAGTGAACGTATATTCTCTAAGGCAGGTCGCCGCGTCATTATTCCATGGCTAGAAATTGGCCTCAATGATTTGGGATCGAGGGGGATTATCCCTCTTTATCCTGCCTCATCTCGTGTAGGCCTGGACAGCCTTCGTAGGTGGGCCTCATCCGTTGTCTACCCCGACCGCAAATGCGGCTGGTGTAGGCGCTTTGTGGGACCTCCTTTTGTCCTGGCTGGGCCCCGCCGGCTAGGGCCCTTTCTTCTGGCGCTCTTCTTGCTTCGCCGGCTCGTCTGTGTAAACTCCGGGGGTAGTGTCATGTTTATGTGTGGTATGGTTGGGTAGGGTAGTGCGGCTATGCAGTCTGGGATGCGCTTTTCTAAGGTGGCCCTTGGGCTAGCGCGGGAGGGGAGGGGTAAATAATAACACAACAGCGTAATAGATTAAAATCCAAGTATGTAAACAAAATCATTTTTCTAAACTTCAATGATTTTTTGTTTATTCATAAAACTTAGTAGTAGTAGGCATTCGCACAAAACAGCAAATAATTTTGAATTAATAAATTACGTATTTGTGATTTTGGATATTTTTATTTTTTCGTTAGGTGTTTGATATTTTTATAAGACTAATTTCTATAAGACCAGAGCAGAATATAGGTGTATATTTTTTTGTCTTGAAAATAAATAAATTTAGAAAATAATTATTTATTTAAATGTTAATAAATATATAAATATTTTAAGTTTTGTACACATTTATGAAGACAATAATGTAGTAACTGACTTGCAGTATTTTTATTTGTAAAGATTGAATGTTGAGTCGCTAAAATTAACTGTGGTAGTGTCATCAACAAATAAAATGACATTCCTATTTGGTTCACAATAATATAATACCTAAAATGGATCCTTGAGGCACCCCATTTTTAATATTTCTTATATTACTTCTAATACTTCTTATTATAAAGGTTGTCCCAAAATTCATGCAGGAAGTAATTTTAATAGAAGACATAGGTTTTTGATTAAACATTTTTTATTGATTCATAAAGTATACAAAATAGGGTTGTGTATTGAATAGCATATCGGGTAAACGGCCTCCACGGTTTTGCTGGCATATACGCACTTTTATGTCGAAATTCTCTGTGACTGTTTTGCATATATGTGGTTGAATTTCCTCCTTCAAGGCGTGGGTGGTCATGGGCTTGTTGGCAACCTTAGACTTCAAAAAATCTCAGAAAAAAAAGTTCAACGGAGTTAAACCATTAACTGTTATTGTCTGAGCAGCCGCATTTTCCAAGAAGAATGGTCCGATGATGCCTCCAGCCCAAAATTCGCACCAAACAGTGACACGTTGTGGATGCAATTGTTTCTTAACAATCATGTGGATTTTCTGAATAATCTGATTCCCAAATTCAACAGTTTTGTCGATTATCGATGCCATCAAGATAAAAATGAGCCTCATTGCTCAAGATAATTTTGTTAAAAAGCAGTAATTTGCTCTGCATGGTTGGTAGGCTTTAGTTCTTGAGTCAGTTGAACTTTGTAAGCATGAAGATCTCGAAATATCCTATTCTTGACACGGTGCCAGATTGATGCTCCTTGACTCTCATCAACAAAGGACGGCTAGAGTGTTTAAGAGTTTGAGTTTCCTTGAGTTTTTCACTTAATCTCTTCACAGTTGATGAAGTTACATCACTATTCCGACCATATTTTGTACGAAAATTGCTACCTGTAGCTTCATTATTGTTTAAAAATGCGTTGTTCTTTCATGTAGTGCTCCATTTTTAATAACCCTTAACTGTTAGCTGTCACGATGTTTTTTTTTCTTACAAATTGCGAAAAATCCAAATCTTGCATGAATTTTGAGACACCCGATAGTTAACATATTGTTGTGGATCCACAAGTAAAATTTTATTAAATTAATACTGTTCTGGTAAAAATTTTAACATGTTAATTATTTCATTATTGAATCTCTATTTGTCAGTTAAATTGAGTCTAGTTAGTTCAAGTACTGCTTATCCATAATTGTTTAACGTCACTGACAAATCATAAAAAAATCATTAGAAAATAAGACAACTTAAATTTTTCTTTGCATTGCAGCTGCTGGTGAATCCTTTGGAGTTGCTCCGTGTAAGTAAAACACTGATCATTATTACTTGAAAAAAATATAGCTATATTTTTTTGTTTCAGCATCTCAACCGAAATTTGGAAGTCCTATGGGTAAGTAGTTTGCGTTAATTTTCATACATTTTTGTCAATTTTTTATTCTGTATTGATTCATAAAGTTCAGAGTGGGTAAATTTGGACAATTTTGGAGGGTTTCTCGTATATCTTAAGGAGATTAATAAAAAGTATAAGACATATATGTCATATTGTAATATTGTTAGTTCAAGTAGGTACTGATTCATCTTATACCTTAATTGTTTAATGTTATTGACACATCATTAAAAAAAACACTAGAAAATAAAAGACAAATTAAATTTTTCCTTTATATTGCAGCTGCAGGTAGACTTTTTGGAGCTGCTCCTTGTAAGTAAAACAATTGTCATTGTTGCTTAAAAAGTGTTTGTATTTTTTTTGTTTTAGCATCTCAACCATCTTTTGGAGGACCTCATGGTAAGTAAAGTATTTCTTATTATTGTCAAAATTCTGTGATTTCAAGATTTCATTATTATTATAGTCTTTTTAAATATTACCACAGTTGTTAGTTACACTATTTAAATAGATCATTCAGTCAAACTTGCTGGATGTCTCAATGGCCGTTAAATCCCAAATATTCGTCCTTTCGAGATACAACTTTTCGAAGATAGGCTTTTAGTACGTTTGGCTATAATATGATGCTACACAATCACACTCTACCACACCCACTCATACACATACATATAGGCACATATATGTATCTATGTACGTATGTATATTGAAATATCAAAGTTATGTAGGGTGTCTCACTATAAATAACATGTTGCAATATCTTCTCATTGAAGCACTTTCAAGAAAGTGTAGAGTTGTAGAGATTTGAGGGGGACATTCGTTGAAGCCTTTGACCTATGACCTTGACCCAAAGGTCAACCTTAGAAGTCATTTGTAGGTCAACTTGGATTTTTAGATGAGATGAAATATATTTCTCACACTGAAAATGGATAGAGTGGAAAATTTTACGTTTATATGTCTTTATGTTAAGTGATTCAAACAAGTTATTTTAGGGTCAAATAATGTTCTGAATAAAATTATTTCGGCACTTACGACGAAGAGTTCTTGTTGAAAGTTTTATAGTTTGATGGGGTGATCCAGACAGTCTAGGCTTTGGGTCAAAGTCACCATTGAATGTCCCCCTCAAAACTTTACAACTTTTTTATAAAAAGTTTTCCCTAAGGGGACACCCTGTATAACTTTGATATTTCAATATATATACATAGAAACATACATATGCATATATGTGTGTATATAAATGTGTGTGAGTGTGTGATTGTGTGCATATATCCATACAGTAACATTGCACTATAGCCAAACGTACTTAAAGCCTATCTTCGACGAGCTATATTTCGAAAAGACGAATTTTTGGTACTTGACGGCCATTGAGACATTTGATGTATTCATCAAGTACCTACTACCAGAATCCAAAGTTTTAGCAAGTTTCACCGCAAGCCATTTGCCATAAGGATTCTGCGGGGTCCTTTTTACCAATGATCAAATTTTTCCATAAAATAAAATATATTCTCCCTCTTATCCACTCTACTGGGGACAATCCGTACATTTATTTACATTTATTTTTTATTGCAGTTACTGCATTTGGCGGATGTAAAAAAATAATTTGATTAAAAATTATGAATTGGAACAATGTAAATACCTATTATATTTATATTTTCGTATATTTTCCTTGAGGTATTTACCAAATTTGTTTATTTATTTTAGCCTCTCAACAGAGACTCAAGAAGCTTGAAGGTAAATAAATTAAGTAGTATTGCCCGATACTCTGCACACTCCTTGTCACTAACTAGTTATTAATCATTAAAAATCATTTACAACAGCATCTATAATTAACTGCGTTCTATTGCATTTTATTACTCGTTATTAATATCTTGGAATATTTTTCAAATAAAGTAAAGTTATCTGAGATAACGTGAGCTAATTTTATTTGGGATAACTGTAAACTCAGATTTTTCTTCAGTAGGCAGGGCCGGATTAAGGGGGAGGCTACGGGGTCTGTAGCCCGGGGCTTCACGAGATTGGAGGGCCTCAAGATCTGGCCTTGTAGCATCAAATCGAAAAGTGTTTAGATTTTGAAATTTTATATCGACAAGTTGCTGATTGCGTGACCTTTTTTTTTAGAATCAAACAAAAACCTGTTTAGTTTTTTTTTTCTTTCTTTTTAGAAAGAGGGCCTGCGTAGAGCTTGTAGCCCCGGGCCTCACCATAGATTAATCCGGACTTGTCAGTAGGTGTAATATTCTTTGTTTCACATTTTAGATATTTGACTATTTTTACTCAAATGACAATGTTTTAAACATTCACAACACATTTCTTTGGGTAGGGTAGAAATACTAATTTCTATGGTATTCTTTCCAATACTCAAGATATTATTTTAAAATGTTTTCTATTCTAAGTATTTACAAATTTATTATATTTCATTATAAAGCTTTACCTTATCCTCAGTATTTCATCCTATCTTAAGGGATATTTTAGCGTTTCATTAAAAAAATTCCCTGGTAGATCGGTTTTTGGGCTACGGATTCAGATTCAGCTACAAAAAATACACAAGATCTGTGTACTCATGTCTCTAGTAAGAACTTTTTCTTTTGTGGGATTGCATAATTAGAGATATTAAATTAAATTATTGTTTAAAGTTATTTATGTGGTATAAGTTTCGTTTTTTCTTTATTTTTTGGGTATTTTGCCTTTTGTGAAAAAATAAAAAAACATTTTTGAAAAAGCTCCAAAAGGTTCATTCAAAGGTTGCTTTTAAGAAAATATTTTTTGTCAAACCAAAAATCTCACTGAAAATGTAGCGGACTTTAAAAAGTTGTTAACGTTTCGAAAATCTATCTCTTTTCTAAACTTTTTGTGACTTTTAGTTTAGGTCAAAAGTAACCAAAATTAATAAACAAATAAGTATGATATTCATTTGTGAAAACTTACTCTCTGTGGTGGTAGGGGATGGGTTAAAAACACTTAGATACTAAGATGAAGTGAAAATTAGATACACAAATTATCTCGTGTTAAACGATAAAGAAACGAGCATTTATCTGTGCTAACTCGGAAAACAAGTTTAGCAGTTAAACGAAATCCAGATTTAGATCTGGCATGAAAGCCCATAGTGGGGAAAATTTGTTATATCATTTGTACAATGTGGTGTTCCAACAATGGAAAACTTAGATAATTCGAACCACTTCCAATAACAGAGCACCATAAAAGAAAAGTCTAAAGTCAGAATTACCCGGATTAGTTTGTATTTTGACCCTAATCCTGAGAAACACCTCTTGAAAATGGTTTTCAAGATATCAAACTGATTTAAGTAGTAGTTGGAATTGAAAAAACATTTCAATTCACAATCTCTTGCACTATACAGGGTGTTTCATAATTGGATGTCAATATTGAAGGGTGTTAATCTGTGCGTGATTTTAAGACAAAAAGTTCATACAAACATAGGTCCGTTTTCGCTTTATTTTTGATATACAGGGTGATGAATATCTGTTTGTAAAATTGTTTTTTTTTTAATAACTCCGAAACTAAATTAGNAAAGTAGGGGTAGCTGGTGGTTAGGGGGTTGAAGAAAAATTAATTATTATATAACCGAAAGATGGGAAAAAATCAAAATCAGTTAACGTGTTTCGGCGTTTTAAAAAAAATTAACTCATTCAAAAGATATGAATTTTATTCCGTACTTCTGGCCATCCCTGTATACAATTTTAGAAACATTTTTATTTCAGCCAATACAAGATTTTTTGGAACATCTACAAGTAAGTGAAAATATACGCTTTTTAGATATAAATTTATTAAACTATACAGGTTGTTTCGCATAAGGACCGACACAGAGCAGGGGCATGTAGGGGAATCCAAAATAAGGTGATATAACGCAACTTACCTTTATATTAAGCTGCATCCCTGAGAAGTTATAGGCCTTGAAATTGGGGTTTCAAATTTCGAAAAAAATCAACATCTCATGCAGTTATACTTGAAGTTAGAATAATCAAATTTGGTACACGGTGTGAGTGTACCAAGAGCGTTAATCGATAGTAAGTAGAGTTCAATCACAGACAATATAGTTTATCGCCTTAGCTATTTTGATTGTAGTTCAAAAAGCATTTTAAAGGGTTGATAAAATGTGATAAAATTTTTAATCTGTCGGCTGACTTAAAAAATTATTTCTTTATTTTATGGGGAATTTAATTCTAAAATTTTTTTAACTCTTATTAATTTTCAAAAAACTTCGTTTTCAGCAAAAACACGAATAACTAATAATACATATCCTCTCTAATTGGTGGACTACACGATATGGAAATCTCCCATATTCTTCAATATTTCTTCTGTAGTTTCCTTCACAGAAACCTAACACTAATAGCGTGTCAACTTGTTCGCTAAATGAAAATTTCCCGACCATTTTCAAAACACTCGGCAAACAATTAACTAAAGCTAAATGACTTTTCTTGATCGGCAAGTTTGACGTTTGAATTCATAGCCAACTTTTGAATTTTCAATGATTTTAAATAACAGCAATAGGTACGTGCCTAATTTTTGAAAACTAACAAAAGTAAGATAAATTTTAGAATTAAATTCCCCATAAAATAAAGTAATAATTTCTTATGTCCGCCAAGGGGTTAAAAAATTCTATGGTGGATCATTCTTTATCGATCCTTTAAAATGCTTCAATTGAACTCTACTTACTGTCGATTAATGCTTAGGTAAGATGCATTAAATCGCCATATTTCCCCTACATGCCTCTGCTCTGTGTCGGTTCTTATGTGAAACACCTTGTATATGTAAGTATTCTTTATACTCTCAATTTTCAGGTACTGGATTTGGTTCTATTCCGCAAAGTGGAGGTAAGTACACAATTTTTTTCTATTTATTTGAGGATTTTAGAAAAAATTTAAATAAACCCGTGCATCAAAAGGATCAGTAATGGGTTATTTTTATGAAAATAGTTTTGCTTAATCAAAAATCTCACACTGAAAAATGCAGACAAATACAAAATAAGCATCACTATTGCGCACTTTAATTTTTGACGTTTCAAAAATCAATCTGTTATCAGAAATTGGAAAGATCATTTTAAATTTCTAAATAAATAACGAAAAAACTTACTATGCCACAAAATTTATTAACTTTCGTTAATGCCATTTTTTTTGTCAAAATCATTTTATGAAAATTTTTGGTGGTATTGATGTATTAAAACTCTAGAAAAATTTCAGATACACAAACAACTGGAACTGGATTTGCCCCTTCTTCGCAAAGTGGAGGTTAGTATATGATTTTGTGAAAATTATTGGATAGCGTTGCAACAGGCAGATATTTGGGTTTGGGGTTTCATGTTTTCTTAATATTTTAGTATGTACGAGGAAAAAATGAAAGAAATAATTTTTTGATTGCTTGGATTATTATTATTATTATTTCAAAAATAACTTGTTATCATCATACTTTTGGCTCGAATTATCAAACACTGGTATGACATTTTATGATTTATCTTGAAAACAGTCAACCCTCTTAGCATGAAGCTGCGATACAATCCATGTTTGTAAAGTTTTTGGTATTCTGTAGTAATAGTGAGTCCAATTTGCAATATCTTAGAAAATTTGAATTCATCCCTTAACTTGTAATATCAAAGAATACAAATTTCTTGAAAGTTTGATACGAAGTAATTCTGGACGCATGTTTATGGGAATTTGTTTTGTTAGTATAGTCTGTACGATATTTGTTGAGATAGAATTCCAAGAAGACCTCTGCGTAATTTTCTTGGAATTTACCGCATTCGACACCCAAAGTAGAAAGATATTGGCGGCGTGACGTTCACCGTAGCAGCTTGCAGTGCATATTGTGTTTTGACATTACGAAGGCGTGTTTCTTTGTGTATCGTCCTGTGCATTTTCAGTGTACTTTCTTATTAAAATAAATCAGAGGAGGTGAAAAATAAAAGAAAGGAATTTAATTTCCAAACGAAGAGTATCGTGTTTATCTTATATATAAAATTCTCGTGTCACAATGTTCGTTCCCGTACTCCTCCGAAACGGCTGGACCGATTTTGATGAAATTTTGTGTGCTTATCGGGCAGGTCTGAGAATCGGCCAACATCTATTTTTCATACCCCTAAATGTTAAGGGTGGTCCACCCCAAAATATTTTATTGTTGTTTTTTGGACAAAATTTTATTTTTTTATTTTTTTATGATGTGGCCTTAAAAAATACATACAATCCTAAATTTTCACCCTTCTACCATCAACCCTTATTTTTTAATAGCGATATTAGTAATTCAATAATTTTCAACCCCGGTNATATACAGGGTGTTTCATAATTGGATGTCAATATTGAAGGGTGTTAATCTGTGCGTGATTTTAAGACAAAAAGTTCATATAAACATAGGTCCGTTTTCGCTTTATTTTTGATATACAGGGTGATGAATATCTGTTTGTAAAATTGTTTTTTTTTAATAACTCCGAAACTAAATTAGATAGTTTTATAAAACTTAGTATGTGTAAACTAGGTGCAGAGACGCGTCTTTTGCATAATAAACGAGTTTTCATTTTTAACCAGTGGCGTCCCAATTAACTTCAACCTCATTATTTTGAATGAAAAAAATGATATGCCACTGCATTTTTGAAAAACAAAAATTATTGTACAAATGGTGCTTTATTTTGTAATAAAAAAGATCTCTTTAGTTTTTTTCTTATCTTGCACTGTTTTTTAGTAAAAAAATAAAGAACAACAATAATTATCTGTACGTGGAATGAAGTA